TGTATAATGCAATTATTTAACATTATAATAATATTATATTTATATTGTACTATTAGATGTATACAAAAGGATGGGGTTTTGAAACGATTTGATACAAATGTAATAAATAAGATTATTAATATATCACATAGATTGAAGTGAGTTGATTGTAAATTGGAGTAATATTGTAAAAATTTCTGATATAAGTTATAGTAATCATTATTAAAATATCATTAAATCTCAATAACATGAAAGAATAAAATAATGTATTTTGTGATTATCCGATATAAAAAAATCTGTAATTATATGAAATTTGTGATCTGATAACTGATAACATGGTCTTTTTATATTCTTTCAAATATTTTACCATCATCGAGTCAGTTATATATTCCAAAATAATTCTAACATATAACGTTCAAATTGGTTTTTTCAATAAATTAATATAGGTATTTGTCTTTGCTCATAGATTATACACGTTTTTACAAAATAATGTTATTCGTTCCATCGAGATCATAATATTATACCTTCACCCCTAAAATATACTAGGGTACATTTCCGTACAGGGTAATTCTTGTATGTATTTAAAAAATAAAAAAATATATATAAACTTATATATCTTTTGGTCTTGTCATTAAAAGCCAATACTTAAGTAAGCCTAAATAATAAATGGTATATATTATAACACATTGACAGCTACCCCTCTGCACCATAGTATTCGTGTACAATTATTGTACTACGGAATTTGGGATTGGTTGATACGTTTTCGATTAAATCTTACTGGTACTTATGTGGAAAAATATTAATATTGATGCAGTTTCGATAAGATCGATGTTCAATACTTTCTAATAATATAATGGACCATTGTGAAGTTTTCCTACCACTCTAACCGACGTAACATATCATTTTAGTCATAAATCAATCAAAATAATGTGAAATACGTGTACCTACATCGGGTTACATCACTATTATAAACAATATAATATTTTTATATACGCATTACATTCACCTTAGAACACATGCATGACCCCATCGAAATATATGTAATTGTTTGATTCTATTATTCAGCACGTGATTAGTACGAGTTTTCACGCATTTGGTTTTAGTGAAAATGGTACCTAGGTATAGTTTCCGACTACAGTTTTCCAAAGCTAAGACCAGTGACATACTGTACTCCCAACCCCATTAAACTTTTTTTAAATTTATACAACGATGATGTTTTGCACGGGATTAGCACGAATTTGCACGACCAATCTCGAAATTTGATTGTCTATTCCTATATGGCTATATTCCACCAAAATCATTTTGCGATTTTGTGTATGTCCCAAACCCCACTCCGAACGTAGTTATAGATAACTTGTTTATATAATTGGTTTTATTATTTTATGTAGTTGTATGTAAGAAAATCAAACGAATATTAAAAAATATTATTTTTTTTTTTTTTAAACTAAAACCGGAACCAGAACCAAAAAAATAGATTCTACCAGTCCTCTGAACAAATATTCTATTCCAGAACTTGAAATTCAAAATCATGAAGAACGATATTAAACCAATTAATAATGTGAATAAAAAAATTTTAAAAAAGTATATTATATTGAGAATAAAGTACATATTATATCGTCGTTCAACATTCTGAGTTTATGCTCAAATTTCAGTTCACCAGACTAGAAATATAATAATACTTGACATATACTTGATCAATAATAATATAATGATCCAGTTGTGGGGTGATGGAGAGGGGAGGCTATATAAAGTGGGTATTAGTTCCTCAGTGGTATGATAATTTACTAATGTTTACAGATTCACAGTGTAAGATTACTGGTAATCAATAATCATATATACGGTTCAAAATCCATTAATAGTACTATTATTGGTATATTACAATCATGCGGTGCTTTTATTGCAGTAAGTCACTTGGCAGTTGGCAGAAACGTTTTATGTGGCTTAAAATTAAGTCATAAAAAATGTACATTGAATAACGAGTGGTGGTTAAATAGTGGTATAATATTAAAACACAAAAACCATTTTATTTTTTAAAAAAAGTAGTCACTAGCAATCAAATATCCATTACGCACTAGGCGTTAAAATATGAAGAACGATATTTTTTTCCTGGAACAAGTTGGTCGACTCAGATTTTTTTCCCTCAAAAATAGGAATATATTTTAATATGCTTGATAAATTTAATTATTCGACGTCTATGGGGTAGATAAAATATTATATTTTAATTTTATAAATTTGCAATCAACTCATTTGTAAGGTCGGGAGGAAACACGTAAATCCTACACAATAGGGATCGTATCTTCTACTCAACCCGGCCAGAAAATATGTGTTTAAAATAATATAATTATATTCAAAAAAGAAATTTGATTTAATCCGTTCTTCGGCGTAGGCGGCAGTACATTCTTAAACACAATGTGCTGCTCAATATTATGTCCCACCTATATAACATAACATTTTTTAACACTCAAATTTATTACTTAATTCATAGCTATTCGTTCAAATAAGCCATTCAGTTGGTACGTTTATCGTTGTATCTAATACTATATACACAGCTCATACAGTGTGATTCGTTTAGCACGCACACTTCCATTATATCCTTTAACTATATGTCTTTAATTTATTTGAATATTGATTCCTGTAATTTTTAAGTATAGTTTCATATACTTGGATTGTATTCATTGCCATTATATATTGATGTTTATATCATGTACAAAATTACGACACAAACTTCGTCAAACTCTTTTTTTTTTCAAATGAGTTTTTTTCATTTTAAATAATTATAATATGTAAAATACCATGTAAACCATAATAACTATTCTTAGTACAATATTATATAAAGTTTAGTTTGCGAAAACTATTCTTTCGATTGTATTCTTACTTAGCTACAAAAACATTTTAAAAACATTCATTTAGTTAACAATGTAAATTAAAAATCTGTTTTTATTTGAAAAATTGAAGTTGTTTTCATCTTCACTGGATACTCCGTGGGCCATGACATACTAAATCTAAATTTTCATTATTAATAACTAATAAGATGCGTTTCGACTAGTATCACAATTTGTGATTTTTATTTTGATTATACCGGTGGGGTATAATAGATTATATTATAATTGAGTCAAAATAAGCGACGTAAAAACGACTTCACACTTATTATAGTCACTGTTTGAGGATTGACGCACTAGCGTTATTCGACTTTTGGCTATATTTACGGTACTGCATAATCGTAATGCTATTTTATTGCCCAACACTTGAAAAAATAACAATAGGTAGGTACCTAACTACATTTTTATATATATATTATACAGTATCAATCCATCCATTTATATCCTATATAATATATTATATCTGCTTGACGGTCGTTAACAGATAGGCGTAATATAATACCCATATTACCACATTTAACAATTATGATTTATTATTATCGATTGGGTTAGGTTAGGCGAACCTCACATTCGTTATAATAATATACACTATATAGGTAGTGGTTAATATAATATACTATTATAGTATTATTCGACATATCTTAATGAACGGTCGGTCGTGGTTGCCAAAATAGATAAACGCGTCGTCACCGTTTTTTTTTCTTACTCACACGCGTTGGATCTACATTTAAGGGAACAAAAAAAAAATGTACCTAGTCGTGTCCGGCTTTTGGAACGGGTCCACGGCATGAGTTCGCTAGAAATCAGCCTGCGTCCGTAATTCGATACAAGACGATAGATCAGCTGTCGTGTCCGTTTATTTAGGACGGAAAAATCAGATTGCGGACCGACAGTGTTTTATACTATATATAGCTGGTGCTCGTAATACGTAAGTGTGAAACTTGTGTGAAAAACTCTATAATACTCGTCAGGTATTACATCATATTATGCGGGAAACGCATTTTCTGTACCCGGAACCCTGTCCACAAAAATAAAAAAATAAATCACTCATAACGCCGTGAGCCCGTGACCTGCAATAACCGTCGTGTGCGCAGGCGACGGCGAAAAATGTAATACCTACCATATAATAATACAGTTTTGAATTTATTCACAGTATAAAATATAATAATAATAATATACAAAGCACCCACCTCAGAGGTTAACCCGAAAACTCTGACGACAGCAATTTTATTTTTACTTAAGTAGACGTTTCAACCATGGTTTATGCAGGGTTTAGTACAGGTGGTTTTAAAAATATTCTAAGAAAAATTAAAACAATATAATTAATACGAAAAAAAAAAAACAAAAAATATTATACCGACAAAAATTTTTGACGCCGAATTTAATAAAGGTATATCGTTCGTGGCGGTCTATCATTTGACATTTTGTATTGAAAATATTTATTGTTCTGATAGTCCTTATCATACACAATAGTATACATTTTTGAGTTATGGTGGTTTATTCCAAGGGTGCGATATTATTCTATTTCGCAGGTGGTCCCTGGCGTCTCCCTGCATATTCTTTCCTTTGATAGTCGTTGCATAAATACGAAAATATTTATAAAATCCAATAAAACTTTATGACGTAGATTTACTATTTAATTCTTCTAGTGCAATTTTAAAGCTAAACACTTACTAATATATTGAAAGGGGATAATTTCTCGGAAAAATGACATCGGTGTTTTATCGGTTATTTATTATTGGTACAAAAAGTATTTATTTTTAACTTTTTTACTAAACTTTAACTTTATTGTTACTCACTATTTTTAAAAAGAATTATCGTTGTCATTTTCTACAAAATGTGCTTTCAATTAGGTGTATAACTTGTGCTTATATGCTCAGTTCAGGAGTATAAGGGTATGAAGTTCTCTCAAAACTTCTGCAGATGTCGATAGTAATAGTTTCGCTTTAGATATTTTTCAAAAATCCATTCATTTTATGTACTGCCATAAAAAAATATATACATGTCACATCACTATGGCCGCTCCTCTGCCGTTTTGTATTTTTCTATTGCATTTTTGCTCTATATTTTCCTCTACCGACCTACTAGGTATCAACAACGTACATAACGATCGAACTATTTTATTTATTTACATCCATACAGATCTTCAACACTGGTTGCTTCGTGTCAATTGCCAATCATTTTGGGGCACCAGTCGTCGGTATAACTTCGACCAGTCTCTATCCGTGGTTTGGAGGTATGGTCGGCGATGTGGTGATGCCGTCGTATGTGCCGGTAAACTTGTTACCATTCACCAGTCGGATGATGTTTGCTGAACGCCTGATCAACTCCATGATACTAATAGGGATGAAAACGTATTACAAATTCAAATACGAACAGGCGGTGAGTACGGTGTTATATTGTGTCCAAACGTTAAATATTGTTATGATGAATACGCATGTGACTCAGATTTTAAGTAGTGAAAATCCTTTTAATGTTTTTCTAAAAATCTCACTATTCAATAATGTATTATAATACAAAAAAAATTCATAAAATATATAATACGATATCAAAAATATTCGATTGCGGAAACACTCACCGGCCAGTTATGAAAATATGATACCTAACGTTTTTTCCTGTGTTACGCATGTGCAAGACGATTTATATTTACGAACCTATAATATTTACTAGCACAAAAATGTCAATGTTTTTAATAGACTCAAGAAATCGTGGATAAATACTTAGGAAAACTAAACGGTGGTACGGTGTCCGAATCCCTGGACAACGTGAACGCCATCATACTGAACACACACTTCGTGTTCGGAGACACCCGGCCTCTGCCACCAGGTATCATTGAAGTCGGAGGATGCTCATATAAGAAACCAATGCCCTTGCCGGAAGTGAGTACCTATATATCTATGATACAGTTTATGGTAATTTATCAACATGGGTTGATGTCGCAGTATTATTCAAATTAAGTGACGTTTGAATCTAGCATTAAGATCAAGTAAAGATCGAATTTTCAACACCCCAAACGATAAATCACAAATGTGAATTTGAACATTTATTTAAGAAATTAATCTAGAATGAGAAATAATAATTTGGTTTCAGGCTAAATTTTAGAATCTGAGAAGAGCGATAAATTTTTAAATTTTTAAATTATATTAATTTTTTTGTGTGACATATGTTTTTTTTATATCATTCTTAGGAGCAGTAAAAATTCTACAATCTTCAACTTTGAGAGTAGCTTATAACATATTATAATAATGATTTATGCTCAAACTATTTTTGTAAGTTTTATCATTCATTCAAAAAATGTTAATCGTAGTCCGTAGATACTAGATAATATTATATTCCGTTATTAAATTATAATTTTCTTCCACAATTAAAATATTTAGATGTTTTGCTATTTATACCACGAACCTATCTATAATGTTTTACTGTAAGTCGGTATTGGCTTATAACTTATAATGACGGCTAGGAATATTATATCCCCTAAATATATAGGTAGATAAGTAGGTCATTATTATTAAATAATAATATTATATGCGATATGTTTTTGTCAAAAATTAGTTCAATCGTGTGTATTATTAATAGAAAAATAAATTACTAATAGCAATATTAATAACGAATATCTTTAGAAATATAGACCGACTGTCATTCTCTGCTAAAAATCATTTTATGTATTTGGTACAATTATTTATCATTGAATTCAAATAAGTAATTGAAAATAATAAACATTACAGTGACCTACTCAATGACGAGGTAAGCTCGACATCAACTATATAGCAGCAAAGCAGTTTCTTCGGGTTTTTTTTTAAGTTTTTCTTTTTTTAATGACAACTTGTACTTTTCAAATTTCAAATTTTTGAAAATCTTGATTGTCAAATATTGAACCAATATAAGTAGTTAGGAAAAAATATTTGAAATAAATGTATAAAATCAACACAATAATTATTAATATATTGCAATATGGTTACCATTTAACAAAAAATTATAAATATTAAATACTATGAATTATGATTTATGATTAAATAATTTATAAACGCCATAATTTATTAAAATTAATATTTAATACATACCAACCAACAAACTAAAATCTTCTACTTTTCAACTTTTCAAAATAGGGAACCCAATTGTTATGAATTTATGATTAACTTTTCTAGAAAAGGCTTATGATTTACATTAATTGATCATCAGTGAAAATATCTGTAATATCTTCATTTGGATATTATAGTTTTAACCAAATAACAAAACAAAACACATTAAGTTAAAACGTGCGTTTTATATTAACACTATAAATTACCTTCCTTACAAGTTACAATATTATAACACTAAATGTCTACTTGTATTCAGTTTTTAATTTGTATAAAGAGTTACTTACGTAAAACTTTTTGAAATCCATCATAGCTGCGGAAAAAATTGAATTTATACGAACAGGCAAACAAATTGTTTAATGCAATACGTCATAATAAATATAAATATGTAGATATTATCTTGTTCTACTCTGAATCCAAAATAATATATTAAATATTGTGTGCCTGTACATAAAACAGTAAGTTGTTCATCTGCAAGAGACAGAATATTTTCTATAATATAATACAGGTTTTTTAAAAAAATTTATTTATTTACAAATGACTTCTAAATGTCACTTCCACATTTTTCATTCATCATACATTTTACACGATATGGAGCAAAAAATTTTGTTTAGATATCAATAAGCTTTTAGATATTATAGTAAATAAACAAACATTATTTATGGATGCATATGAAGTTGAGAGATATTGTATATATACAGCGTACGTGCTAATATGACGTATGCTATTGTATTTTGACTTCGTGAATTTATAGTAAAAATGAGTTGTTGGTAAATCCATTCGATATTTTTATATATCACAAAATGTTTATCCACTACTCTGCTCATCTAAATGCCAACCACTTATAATTATTTATCAATTCACTCAAAGTTCAATTTTTATACAATTAATTACTTTTTTTTCTTTTCTTTAAATTAAAAAGAAATTTATATTCTGTACATTAGAAAACAATAAATAAATATGATAAATAATAAATGACATAAATAACATTATTGGGAGAAGATACCCATTAGCAACACCCTTTACATTAATTAAATACTAAGAAAAATATTCTGCTTCGGTATAAGAAAAACAAAAAACTTAAAAAAAAATATATTTAACTACAAAATACCACAACTATAATAAATTGTTTTCAAAAATATTGTTTTGTAATGACTAATTAGTATTGACATAATATTATGTAAAAATAAATATTTCAAAAACGTTAAAATTTTGAGAAAATAAGTTTCATTTTTACACGAATTACCCTGTATAGATTTTAGTCGTCATGCGAGAGAATGTTTAGATTTCTAAGTGATTTAAAATGAGAATTTTTTTTTATGTTTTTCGTACGGCTCGACGATGGTATTCAATTTTAGTTTATCTAACGGCGGAAACAATACTTATGCCTTGCTGTGTATATATTTTTGGGTCTTCATTTTATATTAGATTTTTTTAAATGAAAACGGTTTTTTATTCTTACGACCACCGAAACATGGAGGTCCTATAAAAGGATCGTACTAAAGGATTTTTTTCCCCTGATTATAAGTGATCCTATTCCACGAAGTTCAAAGAAGAGGAAATCTTTATTCAAAGCTCAAACATGGATAGATGCACTTATATTTTGATGATATTATTATTTTTGCTAACACGAAAAATTGTTCACATCCAATTTCCCGAAAAAGGTGAATATTCCGAGTTTTAGCTTTCATACCTACCCAATTCTGACTCTGATTCAAATCACTTTTATCGTATTTATTTTAGATTCTGAGTGGAGAGATGAATGTATTGATTTTACAATGATGTGTTTTTCTTTATATCTGTACACGATAAGTAGTCGAAATTAAGCTTCGATTTCCAAATTTAGTATCAGCTTTTCTGGCGGGAAAGTGACTCTAGTTAGTGCATTCAAGAGGTCAAAATAAAATATTTTCCAGAAGTTTTCAAAAGCGTCGGGAAAAAGAAAAAAAAATTACGGATATCCCAGAATTTTAACCCAAAACCAGTTTTTGACGAAATCTAGTTTGTTTTTTTTTTTTATGTATAACTAAAGATATTTCTATTTTTATTAGTTTTATTTAAATTTTAAACTATGGTCGATAAAAAAATTGTCAGATAATTTAATTCAAGTTAAACTTCTACGAATTACTTTAATAAATAATAACAATTTAAATTTTATATAATATAATACCTAGGTTGACTATCATCTCCACTCAGAATCGTTTTTCGAATACAATGATTAATCATTTAATTTGAATTCATTACATCCATTATAGTTACTTACTTAATAACGTTGTACAATCCACTCCTTTTATACAGCAAAGCAAGACACTTATCTACTTTCTCTTTTTTAATTTTAATATATTTTAGAAATACGAATTCAATATCATACAAAAATCAAGAATAACCTGCAAATATAAGATAAATTATACTAAATATTAATACAATATTATTTGATTCGTTTTTAGTGATTACTGAATTACAGTGTATAATAATATATGGTGTTAGATCAAATTAATTAAGTCTGATATAAATTGTATGTATAATTATTGTTCTTTCATATAAATAGATAAAAATATAATAAACTATTGTTGATTTGTCAGAGTTTAATGTTACTATACCCTTTTTTATTTGTAACAATGTTTTTAAGAGCATTATTATAAAACCTATAATATAATATTTAACCATCAAAACTTATATGTTTTGCTAGTTTCCACTTTTTAAATAACATGTCCACAAATAAGAAAGCTTATTTCGTCAAATAATATGTTTGCGTATAAATTCAAGTATTTTCATCATTTTTTTTTCGTTTTTCCTGATTATATTGAAAAATACTATAAATTTAAAATTGTAACCTCGCTTTTGTAGTGATCAGATTCAAATAGTTATCAGATACTACCCTCAAAAGTAAAAGTGAAAAAAATTTTCCACTACTTTTATACAGACACAAAATAGAACACATCATTGACAAATCAATAGATTCCTCACTCCATTCAGAAACTAAAATAATGTTCCATATTAGTATAATTGTAGGTGCATGGCTGATTCAAAGACGAGGCATCTGTACAATTATCATAATGCTCATAAGCTCCCTTAAATTAATTACAATGTATAAAATATAACTTTTTAATTTATTACTCCAATATTATTAAAACTATTACATAGATCGTTATACGCTTATATAGATATAATAAATTATACCATTGAAATTTCCAGTTTTTTTTTTTTTGTTGCAATTAATTTAAAATACCATATTTTTTTCATTAAGTGTGTATATTGTAAAAGGCGCATAGCTTTTGTTATACGTGTACATTTTATACTGTAGTGCAGTGAAAATATATTTTAGAACCCTTGTAATTACGTTGGTACATATTCAAATTATATAGTTTAATCGTGAAACATATTATTAAAAACCAAAATATGCTAACATGTACATAATTGTAGTAAAAATATAAAACATACTTAATCAATAACGTAATTTATTATTTTATTTTCATGTTAAAATAATAAAATGTACCTATTACAACGGATAACCGATAACAGTTACATCATATTATTACCTACAACAGCCAACCGGTGATTGGTATTTATTTATGTGAGCATAATATGTTTATGACTCTTACTAATAGGTATTGTCGATTTGATTAATTTGTTTACAGTCATTATAGTCTAGCTAGACTGTAGCTGTAATTACAATGTCACCGTTCTGGTTATGATATAAAAATCGAAATTCTATCCAGTATCCACTACTGACCATCAATGAAGTATGCCCTAATAAGTTCGTTGGAGTGTAACTTTGTTCGATAGGATGAGAAATAGGCAGTAAACAAAATCATTATATTTTTGAAAAAATAATAATTTCCTCGAGTTTTCCGGTAATCGTGTCTTCATCCACATAGCCGCCGTGTATAGGCCATAGGGTATACTGTTGTAGTCAATTTAAAAGTAACAATATAATCGTTCGATATATTATTTATTGCTTGAAAGATTTAAGTGAATGTTTCACACACTTTCGCAGTGTTTAATTCGAAAAATGAAGAGCGTTAAGTCGTCAACACGACGACGCTCATTTAAAGATAATAATAATAGTACAATTACATAATGTTAAGCACAAATACTTATATAATTCATCTTACTCGGAGAACTATATTGTAAATAAAAATAAAAAATAAACTAAGATTAAAATAATATATAAACATAAGATAAATATTAGTTGTTTATTACACTGTTTGTAAATTAGGTAATTATTATACGAGTAGTCGTTGTCATCGTCTCTCGAACGGTTTCATTATGTTTCCCTTTAAATCTTCAGACTCGAGCGATAATCCTTCACGTTTCTTTCACAGGAGTTTGTTTTAGAGAGTCGTATTTTTGCTTTTATTTCTTTTTTCATCAAAACCCCGTTGTTATTTTTCACTTTTAATTGCACCTGCGACATTTACTCTTCTGCGCCGTCATTAGAACATTTTATCTTTTCGTTCGTCCTTTTGTCCATCGGCCATCGTGTATGTATTATGTATCGGCCACTCGTATAACTGTATACATTATATATGTGCGTTGATATATTGTTTTCCATTCGCATACGGCATGCCGTGGTTGGTCCACAACGCGTATATTTAAATGAGATTTATACCACCTAAAATACTCAAACAGCCATCTACACCCTCTGTTAATTTTTCTAGCTCAATGATTTTTGACCGACGATAAATCTGAAACGTCGACAAAAATTATTCTACTAGCCACCCGAAAACGATATCGGCTCATTCATGCGGATTTGTCTTGTAAACCAACCCCAAACATATTTACCCCTCCTCTCTTTCTAAAAATAATCTTTTCTCACGATAATATATGTCTGTTATTATAAAACACTAATTTAAATCAATTAAAATGTAGGTACATCTTAAATCGAGCTTATGCACATTATTATAAATATTTTATCCCATCGCCCCCCTCCTTTTGAGTTGTATTTATTCTTCGCTGCAGTGATGTCGACTCATAGTTGAGCGTTTAGAAGAAATTCACACTCAATGTCTGAAGTGGCAGGATGTTAGGGTGGAGTTCTTGAAAATCCTTATTACTCTATCAGTATTGTTTTCAATTGTTTTGGCATTAGACCCTCTTCCCAAAGCTTTTAATATACAGAATTTGTATTACGGTGTATAACACTATATATATTATACAGAAACAGAATGTACAATAAACATCGAATCAATTTGTTTTCCTGTTATATATTAATAAGTGCACTTTATAATCAACAATATTATTATAACATTACATCACCCATATATCAATGTCCAATACCCTCTCATGCACAAGCGCATCTCTGTACACAGGTCTTAGAACGGTACGTAGCCGAGGCCCAACGAGGTGTCATTTACTTTTCAATGGGCTCCATAGTGAAAGGCTCATCCATACCAGCCACCCAGTCACTGGCCATGCTCCGGGTGTTCGGCAGACTGGACGGCTACAGGGTACTGTGGAAATGGGAGGACGACCCACCACCACAGGAAGTCCGGCCCGAAAATGTCATGTTCGTTCCTTGGATGCCTCAGTTTGATGTGCTCAGTGAGTAAACGATTAGAACAACATTAATGTTTTGAATGATAAAAATATATATGGATCCTACTATAATGGTGGCATGGAAATGGTGGTGAATATTGTATATTCGTTTGAATCGCACAATACAAAGATACATATCGAAGACACGAATGGAAGGCACTTTAAAAGAGCCTGGTGTGTTCATTCGCCATTCTTTAAAGGTTTTAATATATGCAATTTTAATGAAATAAAAATTTGAATATTGAAATATTTGAATAACAGTTCAAAGTATTTCACAATTGTATATATCATTTCCCGTAATGGTTGTTGCGTGATAACAAAATTAAGTAGAAAATTAATTAAGGCATGTTGACCCAGATCAGTTATTACTGCTTTTAATGCAATATTAGAGGTAAAACACATTAAATCGAAAAAGAATAGTACAAAAGTTCCATTTTTTACTCTTTTTTTAAACAGCTTTAAACTTTTTTGCTATATATTATTTTGAAAAAATGAGTTTTCGTTATCTACAAAATGTATTTTTCTTTAAATTATTTAACTTGTGTTTTTTTCCTCTAAAGCATTATAGAAGGGGTAATCACCGTTTTTTGCAGGTGTTTTTTTGCACTAACAATTAAGAGGTTCAACGTGCACTTAAAATATAATATACGATATTTAGGTACCTACCTTTCTTCAATTATTATACATTTATACGTGCACATTAGTTGCTGTTCCTATATATATTTTATTATAATTATCATTGTTATTTTCACATCTTAGCATCTATGTGAATGATAGGTTACTCAATATTCTGTAGCTTTTTGTTAACTATTCGATCTCTAACTTTGACCACTCCCAGCTTATTCTAACTCGTAACCACTCCTCGCCAATATCGTACCAACATTATATTATTATAAGCGATGGCCACTAAACCTTAATGTTTATCTATTTATATCCACATTTTTAATTGCTATTATTATTATTATTATTATTATTATTATTGTAGCTGGAAATATAAATGTATAACCTACCGTGCGGCCGTGCATTTTGCAATTTAACATTACTGACCCTTCTCTACTAAATTCGTTTTACTATCCATAATTTAAAATTTGTATACAGTCCTCTCTACTCCAAAACACTCTGATTGTCGAATTAATTAACGTAACTGCTGAATTAGTTTGTATATTATACGAAAAAAAAACATTGTGAATATGTATACGATTCAATTGAACGGATCTACCTAGGTACTTCGTTTGACGCAATAGTGGCTTAATATCAATGCACTATTATATTCAGACTATTCGGTACGGTTAACAAGCTAACTTTCTACCTATATAAATTATTTCAAATAAATACAACATAGTGTGTATATTATATACGAACAACAAACTCATGACTACTAGGAATAATTTCAATGTAAATAACGTTTGGTACATTTGAAAAATGAATAAAAACCCTGCTGAGTGCTGGTATTACATTATTATAGCGATGGCGTCGATTAGTATAAAATAATAATGGATAGGTAAAATACATTTACGTTTATCGTTTCGAAAGTAAATATTTTATTTTACTTACATGTACGATTTAAAACACGATCTAGAGACAAAAAACAAAATTGCAGTGTAATTTATGATTTTGAATGTCTATTGAAAGCAATTATATTATTTATAAAAATATCAAACACTGTAATTCCAACGGACGATTTTCCCCGACATGCACACAGTTGTCATGCACAAACGCAGTTTTTTTAAATTATTCATATACCACCCAACCAATTCGTGAATTATAAATATTAACGATTTAATATTAATATTGATTATTCTAATCAGACAGTCGATATCGTATATAATAATTAAACGCTTATGACTATATTAAACCTGATAATCATCATATTGGTATAATTGCAGCATAGCATTTGTACTTATCATTAACTTATATTAACACCATTATAATTTCTTCGGAAAAGACTAAACATGAGTTATTTCGACCACCTATAAATTAATGTTCAGTTAATTAACACTCAGATTAAAATAATATGTTATCATATATAAGAAATATAGTGTCGATCGTTTTTATTGATAATGACAGTCAGCAATGATTAAATAATCCAAAATAAATAAAAAATGCGAAAGTTATAAATAAATAGGTATGAATATAATATGATATGCTTAATGGTAATACCTACCGAATTAGTATTCTTATCGAAACAATACTTCTCAACTATTATAATTCAACACAAAATTGTGTGCAACAAATTCATCTCTGTCAGCATTAAACATGACTTAAATAAAAACAGAAAGTAAAAATTATAAATTACAAATTAGTATTTCATTTCTGATCTATTATTTATTATTCCATCTAGTATTAGCTAATAATTTACAGAAATATAAATATAAATTATAAAAGTATATATTATGAAATCTACCATTTAAAAACACTCAAACAACATCCCAAACTACAATATTGTAACATTTATATAAAAATAAGTTTTTTAAAAATCGTTGTTAAATAATACAATGCCCAAAATAATATTGTATATAAATTATATTATAAAAAAGTAAGAAGATAATGTATATGTTTTAATAAATTACATTCAAATATCCATTAAATTCAATTCAAAATACAAAAAAAATAATAAATATCAAAACGTTTATTTAATAGGAAACGTTGAATAGCATTAGTATTTTATACTTCTCGAATATTTTAAAAAGCACTGAGAAATTTAAATTTTGACATCCTAAAAGTACCAACTAAATTCAATTTTCTACAAGAAATTCCTCCATTGAAGTTGATATCAGAGCATTTTGTTCCTACTGGAATAAGTGTCTCCAGGCATAAAACAAAAAAACAAATGTCATTGTACAATCAGACATTCTGCACCTCCTGAAACTAAACGCAAAACAATCTTGATTTGTTTCAAACCAGAATTACATGAACGATTACCGTATAGATGTAACATTTCTACCATAAATAGAGAAATGAACATTTACTGGGAAAAGCTCTAAACTTAGTCATCACCTTCCGATATTCCAGTTTGATGATTGTGACAGTTATTTATATACTAAAATACTAGACATTATCAGTTATTTTATTAAATTGTCATTTAATTAGTTTTGTTTCGTGGGTGTTGGTTTTGAAATACGATTTAATGGAAGTTTGACATTTAGTGCTTGTATATATTATGTATAACATCATACAATATACATGTCTTCTATAGTTCCGTTAATTAAATGTTTCAAACACGGATTATGCGCTTTATACCAAAACGGAGAGATGTGGGCAAAAACGAGCACGATCGAAAGTAATAATATTTATTCGTTATGAAAACATATTCGTATATTATGGTTATTGTTATATTATATTATTATTACTGTACGTTTCTGTGATACAATGACTGGTGTTTTATCTTTTTCGTGATATTTCGTATGATACAGAAATCGTGACTATTGCCACTTTTCTTTACGTTTATTAAATATTGAGCTACATCTCGTGTTGTCCATGAATTACAATAACGCTACCAGAAATTAAATTTATTTTGTGGTTTGTGTAATTTTTACCCACGTAATTAATGATTATTGTTATGACATACATTATACACATAACTCATAGGTAGCGCAATTTCACAAGAAAAACTAGTTACAGTTAATTGAGGTTTTCATGAAACATTTCGGATACCTGTGTAATAACGATGGCGGATAATGGTTAAAGTAGTAATGATGACTGAAAATAATGGTTATTTTTATGATAATATTTTTATTCGGATTAATAATAACCCAAAAACTACAATCCATTACAACTTAATTTCCGTTGTTAATAGGTAATAATACCAGTTATAATTAATATGATTTTACTTTTTAACTTGAACGGTTTTTTTTTTTTTAAACGCTTTTTAATTTATATAACAACTTAATTAAGTTTCCCGAGTTTTCACTACTGAAGTTTTAACAGACAAACATTTAATTTAATATTAACTTGTATAGATCTTATTTATTATTCAGTAATGATTATTAACGTTGGCCCTTCGTAACTTTGTTACTTAAACAATTTTTGTATTCTATAGGTACATAACTAAATATCTATTTTTAAACCTCAAAGTTTATTCAAAAGTTTCGAATTCTTCAATTTTTATATGTTGTAAATGTTGATCTATAATTATTTATAATTTATATTATTATATACATACTAATATTTCCCATACAGAATACAATTTTTTAAACATTTAAGACTAATTTTAAGTTATTTTTATCATTAATCCTCGCATTAATCTATTCACCTCATTCTATGTTACTTGGTATTGACTTATAAATTATAACGATAATAATATTTTATAATAAATATTATTAGAGTAGGTAATCGTTATATACATAATGTATGTGATATATACTATAAAAAATACTCCAATACAATAGTAATATAAATAAATTATGAAATATCCTTGGAAACAGAGGTTGACATATCGTCTCCGTTCAGAATCGTTTTTCGTACCTATGCAATAAATAATAATTATCATTGAATAAAATATTTTAACATCCATTACAATGACTTACTCAATAGCGAAATACACTCGACTTCGACTGCATAACAGCATAGTTACCTTATTTTTTTAAACTTAATTAAATGCATTTTCAATAATTTCTAGAATTTTTTCATAATTTTTCTTTATTAAATTACTCCGTAATAGAGAAATATTACTATTACATTATAACAAAATTAAATAGAATATAGGTAATACCTTTTATAATATTTTTTTGTATATACGATGAATTGTTTTTTTATATTATATTGAAAAAAAAGTCAGTAACATAATACCAGGAATCAATATTTATATTGAACACAATAAATTATTTGCCAAGCTTAATGTTATAATTTAACTCAATACGCAGTATTAATGTTTAAAAGGAAAACATACTTTTGTATTCTTTTTTTTCAGTTCAAGTAATTCTCCTAAAATTCTTAATATCATAATTTATTTTAAAAAAAAAAACTTTCTTGGTAATTTAAGAAAAAAAATCATCATCTCTGAGTATAGACTTAT